TACATATAGTCCCAGAAGAGAAAAGATAGACAGCCACACAGACAGACAGGGTGGAGACCCACATAACCTTCAGTTCCAGCCCTGTAGGGGATGTATTTTTAGTACATAAACTAAAAATATAAATGAAAAGTGAGACACCTATAATCTTTTCCTTAGTGCTACTTTAATCCTCAAGTAAAGATGTTTTTAAACAAGCTTGACAAATATTTATCAGGTCAAGTTTATGTTAGTCGCATGTGTCACTTATATAGGAAATTTGGGGGCTGCCTCCTCCACGTCTCCTGCTACTTTTGGCAGAATTCATCCCTCCCTTCATAATCTTGAATGGTCACACCACCCGGTTGTGGACACACATCTGCTTATTAAATTTAAAGAGCTTAACCTTCCCTCTCAAACTTCCTTTATAGTCATAGTTATAATAAGTGACAAATAATATAGCTGCCATGAATTTGAACCCAAATTTCCTCACTAATATTTAAAGAAGCTTAATTGAAAGACTCTGATTTATGTAGAGTTCATCAGTGTCAGCTGGCTGCTTGAATCATTGTAGTTCTAGGTTGGGTGCTCAGTATTGTTGGCTTAGAAACTCATCTTTGTCAGCACTAGAGAAATACCTTGCTAACTCAACTCACAGGAGCCCGATGTGCAAACATAATAATGTTAGAAACTTTCAGTAAGAAATCACAGAGCAAGGAAAGTGGAACACCAGCCACTGCTCTGGGCGGAAACCAAACAGCCAGGCAGACATTTGTTTGCTGAATTTGGAATTAGGAAAGGAGTTTTGTCGACTGGTTTCACAAAATTATTTATTGAATTCTCCACACAGCAGGCCCCAGTTCCTGCCTTTGCACACATGGGTTCCAGCCCTTGAAGCGGCACCAGAGGAGCCAGTGTCTGCAGAAACACGCCTGAATTAGAGCTAGTGTCTGAGCCTGAGTTTAGATCCAGCGCCGTGGAAGTCTTTGCATTTAATTAGTTTATTCATGTTCTCAGCAACATCCTGTCACTTTGCCTTTTCCAAGAGAGCCTTGGGAAATCCAAGGATGTGATCCCAGCCTGCTTCCAGGGATACGAATAGAGCCCACTGACAAGTTCACATTTGCTCTACAAAGAACTTACACAGGGATCCTTAGAATCGCTTTATTCATAATTGCCAACGCTTGAAAGCAACCAAGTTTTCCTTCCTTCAATCAGTTAATGGGATAAGCTAACTAGACAGTGGGCATGACTCTGTGGTATAAAGAGACGAGCTTTCAAGCTGTGATGTGACATGGGGGAAATACCCATTCTAAATGAAAGAAGCTGATCTGAAAAGGTGACGTATTTCACAATTCCAGCTATCTTGGTTACTTTTCTCTCATTGCTGGAACAAAATACCCAACGCCCAGAATTAAGGAAGGAAAGGCTTATTTAGCCCACAGTTTGTGGTGGTTTCAGGCAATACCGGGCTGGCTCCAAGGTAGAGTGGTACGGGGCACAGGGAAGCAGTTCACAGTGGTGGAAAACAGCAAAACAGCGATAGGTAAAAGGAAGGAGCAGCTGCGAGGAGCAAACTTCTCTCCCTTCCTTGTATTGTAATCAGGCTATCTGCCCCAGGCCGGGTGTAACACTCACACCCACAATCCCAGCGTTGGAT